AATAGAAAATGCCATCAATGAATAATCATGCAACTAGTCATAAACCAAAGCTAAGCATCAATATTTAGGTAAAAACGATATCGAAACCAAAAGATAAATAAACAGATGAGTCAGCTGATTAGATAAAAACAAATCAAACACAGGGAAGTGAACATCAATAAATATTGTTAACCACATCGCTAAGCAACAGTTTCATAACAATCGAATCGCACGCGAAATATACAATCAAAATAATCAAATGGCAAGTATCATGGGCGTCGCGAGGGGGAGGGGGGGGCAAGCAAAAAAAAAGGTGAAAGGGGCGAAATCATATCGTTGTTAATTTTAAGGGTTGGGGGCAGGGGAAAATGTCCCTGCCCACCCTCAAAAAAATGATCAATCGGGAAAATGCAGGAAATGTAGGGATTGGGGGGGGGGGGGGATATGCTTTGCCCCCCTCTAGAAAGAATCCTGGCGACGCCCATGTCAACTATATGTAAGGCAAAACATGGGTAAATAATAAACCATGCAATGCAGAACAAAATGTATAAAAAAAGCCAGTAAAACAAATTAATTTAAAACAAAATGTTTGAAAGTTATAACAGAAAGAAATAACCAATCAAATAAGTTAGGTAGTGGCGGATTTAAATGGGATGGCTCCTCATACCAAGAGCCTCTGGCGCAAGAGATAATATTGCAGATTGACGTTTTGAAAGATGGCAGACAGCAGTCATCTTCAGATAGCAGGTCATGGTAGTCCCTGAACGTCAAAAGAACCATTCGAATGGGTTGTAATGCCATAATTAATTGAAAATAACATCTTATATGTCTATTTTGTTCCTCTGGTTCCAGATAAATAATAGATGCCGTTTTTCAAGATGGCTACCAGCCGCCATTTTGAATTTTGAGGTCACGATGGTCCGAAACGTAGTGAATACCATTTTAGCAGATTAGTCATGCCAAGACAACGAGAATGCTCTCCACGACAACGCACCAGACGAAAATTTAACTCACTTGCGGCGCCTGAAAGCGGTGTGGTACCCACATACATCGCGCACGCAGATTTTTTTTCGATGTCACCACGTGATGCATACATTTACATAATTAGCGAATTAAAATGGACGACAGCCGTTGGAACTGGCGTTTTTTTTACGGACAAGCCACCGAAATCGTCAAGATTTTTCACATTTTTTTTTGTGGTCTGTTTCAAGTCGATCACTAGGCTTCGTAAATGACTGCTGAATGTATGAGGTATGTAAATGAACTCTGGGTCCTGGGTCTGGGTCATCGCAAAACTTCTGGATCCTGGCTCTCTGCTAGCGTTATAATGCGCACGGCTATTGGTTACCAGCGAAGCAATTAACCCCAGTAGGCTGGTTCCAAATAGTCGACGTTATATAACTGACATACAGATCCTAGTCATTTGATTGGTGGAACTCACATCACATGACATTCGTTATTGCTCCCATTCACGCCGCGGCTCAAAATGTACTATCCGCCCATGGGGAATGGGAAATACTATTCAACAGTTAGGATCGTGACGCGGTATTTGTGTGCAAATGCATGCTGGTGAGCGCGTTCAGCGTTGCGCATAGCGCGTACTGTTCCAAAGAGCCAGCGCTACAGTGTTGGGTTCAAACATTTTCGTGAAAGGGTGGTTTGGAAGAGACAAATACATTTTCCTCCAGTTCTGTATTGAAATAATAGTTCAAATATATCAAATGACAAGGATCTATATGTCAGTTATATAAAACAAATATCGAGTGGCTTTAAATAGTGAAATGGGAGGAATATTATCGCTCGGTAAAATCTGGACTTTTCCAGTTCACTCGGCTTCGCCTCGTGAAATGGAAAAGTCCAGATTTTACCTTGCTGAGCCACTCAATAACTGTATACTAGTAGTACTAGTCAACCACTGTCGACTAGACAGAGTTCGGGCAAACGTTAGTTAACCATTGGTCAACTACAGTCCTTGCGCGAACTTGGCCTGTGATAGCGGTCACTGATCTCTGTATAAAGACTGGATAGCGGCAACCTCGTCCCCAGGGTGTCGAGCAGTACGCGCCCACCACTACCTGCTCTATCTCTCACCCTGGTATTGGATCATTTGCATGTGCAAGATTTTTGAACACGTATGCAAATGAGGAACAGTCTGGTGCCTGGATATGCGTTACACATTAGCGTTTGTTTTTGTATGCAGTGTCTGGAGTAAAAACAGAGTCAATTCGTAGCAGCGCAAGCACGGCGTGAGTTACGAAATAGTAGGGGGGCCAATGTGCAGATTTGGGTTCCCGTCGAAATTTCATGTTAATTTTTGGCAACCATTATAAATGTAATCTTATGAGTCCTGAGAACAAGAAAATTGATGTTGCCATTTTTTCCATTGACCTTTAGTGACCTTGACCTGAGGTCAAAGTTCATGGGTCATTTTCACCTAAAATTTGCCTTTCGGAAGGGTTTGCAAAGATTTTCCAGGCAAGTGAGCACATATTGTATTTGGTTGAGAGTTTCTCCATAATAATAAATGTTATTATTAATGTATTTATGGGTTTTCCTGAAGAAAACATGGGAAAATGTCACTTTTGCCCGAAAAGGGCTGGGTTGTTTTGACCATCTCACGCAGATTCCGGGCCCCCCCCCCCCATGACCTCGGCCATCGAGTGACGAAAAATTATGAAACTTGGTACATGCATAGAACAACATAACATGAACAAACCCAAGAAGTTTCATGACTAAAGTGAAAAAAGTAGGAGTCAATTTCTCAACATAACAGTTTATTAGAATAAACCCATAGCTCTCAGTGCCTACTGGCAACTGAAATTTACAAAAAAGTGTATTTTTTTCGAGGTTTATTTATTCAGGAACTGTGTGGGAAAGGGAACTGGATAGATTGTAAACACATTGCTGTTCCGGACAAAAGGTATATAGGCCTATTTCAAAATGTTCAAAAACATGTACCGGTATAGTCATTGTTTTTTTCCCCTCAAACTTCCTCATTATTTTTTACAAACAATATTAACAATGCTGTGTTTTGCAAGAGTGATTAGTTTAGTCAAGAACAGCCAATGATTTCACAGGTTTGAAAGTAGGGCCTAGTACCAGAAAGCAAGACTTGTCAGACAAAATAAATTTTCTCTCTTTGAGAAAAAAAGGAACACTGAAATCAGGTAAAATTATGGATCCATCATCGTCTCGTTCGAGACTTTCAACAATGGGCGAGAGAAAATAATGCTCAATATAATTTTGCATTAATTTATTGTATTAATTTTACTTGGGATTCATAGGAAATATAGGTAGGCCCTACACACAATTTATTACAAAATTTACTACAATATATTCAGTAACAGAAATGTACGAAGAGATTTAAAGACGAAAATAAAAAAAAATAAAAAAAAACATTGCCGACGATGTCTTTTGATTAACTGTGCTGACTTCTGACAGAAGTACAGGAACGCGGCCCGCAAATATAAAGGTATCAGAACATATACCTAAACGAAACGAAACGAAAGTACGAAAGGAAACGAAAGGAAACGAAAGGAAACGAAACTACGAATAACAAATTAAAAAAATAATAAAGCATGTTTTTTTAATTCAACACCTATCTCCACATTAGACGAATTTCCCGAAACGTGGACGAATCTGAATGCTTTATATTATATTTGCGAATTACACTGGAGACATAATAGGAATTACATTCGAATTCGGAATAAACAATGGAGCCCAACGACGTTCTGGAACGAAATTAAAGTATCTTTCCAAGGAATGCTATATTATACAATTGTTGAAGTAACTGGGAAAACCATAATTAAATATTAATTTTAAAACAAAATCCTCATTTTACGAGCATTCTGTTCAAGTAAGCGTAAATACACAATTACATAATTCATTGCATTTTATTCTGTATAATAATGTTTACACGGCATTGTAACATTTTATTGTGTGGAAATGGCAACATTGAATAAATGTTTCTACTACTACTATTAACAGTCTTTTTCCCGCCGTAAAATAGCTCCAAAATAGTGCCGTATAGCTCCAAAATAGTGCCGACTGATCGGGGGAGTATAATTATGGAGCAAACCGAGGTTTTGATCGCATTTCACAAGTGATTTTGATCTCAGGCATACCCCACCAAAAAACTCTCAATTGCACACTTTGTCAGCCAAAACGATTACTCACAGTATTACCGCATCGTCATTGGTGAAACTGTAATTCAGTCATCCTCCAAGTGCAGAAATCTAGGTGTAATCCTCGACTGCCATCTATCCATGAGCGATCAAGTGTCAGCAATATGTCAAAAACGCAACTTTCACCTGCTAGTGGGGGGCCAATGTACTTCCGTTGGCATGTCATGTTAATTTACGGCAACCATTATAAATGTAATCTTATGAGTCCTGAGAACAAGAAAATTGATGTTGCCATTTTTTCCATTTTCACCTAAAATTTGCCTTTCGGAAGGGTTTGCGAAGATTTTCGAGGCAAGTGAGCACATATTGTATTTGGTTGAGAGTTTCTCCATAATAATAAATGTTACTATTAATGTATTTATGGGTTTTCCTGAAGAAAACATGGGAAAATGTCACTTTTGCCCGAAAAGGGCCGGGTTGTTTTGACCATCTCACGCAGATTCCGCCCCCCCATGACCTCGGCCATCGAGTGACGAAAAATTATGAAACTTGGTACATGCATAGAACAACATAACATGAACAAACCCAAGAAATTTCATGACTATGGGTTAAAGGGTTTTGGAATTACGGCTAATTAATTATTCATAAGCACGTATGGTAATTCAATTGTGTACACTACGTATATGGGGAAATTCAGTTTTGACGGAGGGTAGCGCCGAAAATATTTCGCTGCGCGGCAACCTGTGGTTCGAATTTTATTTTTGGTATCAAAAGATGTGCAAGACTCGAGGCTAAAAAGTCAGGACAGCTCAGGCCGCGAAATAAATAATTTTTTTCAAGAGTATCGCGGAAAAAGTTGAAAGAGGGAAAATCCGCCCCCCCCCCCTTTTAGGGCCTAAATATGACCAACCCTTTAGTGTCTGGCATCTAAATATGAAATGTTGTAAAGTGTCCTCTGCAGTACCACACTCGCACAGGGTGTTTGTCGGTTGAGGAAAATCCCCACTTCTTTTGGTGCGAGCCAATCCAGAGCGGAGGTGATTTAAGCACCTCCAGGTCTTCCATCCTGCATTGGATCCTGCAGGTAAGGCTTCTGCAGGCTTGATTGGCATCTCATGTAGTGGGGGAGACGCCACCAGTCTGGTCAACCCTGGAGGCACACACTTGGGTCTTAATAGCAGGGTTGATCGCTTTCAGGTGACTCACAGTGAAGCACTGCTGTGACTGGTCAAGAACATCGGTCAACGTCTTCCCTTGGGGGACCGTTCCTTTGAAGACGTACTCTACTCTGCCTTTGAATACTACAAAGAAACGATGGTTCTTCAATAGAACACCAATAAACTGGATAAGGGTCAGGTCTGCTGTCATGTCCAGGATCTTCTGAAGGAGTCAGCAACGGTTAACACTGTCAAAAGCAGCTGTAAGATCAACAAAGACAGCGCCGGTGATATATTTTTTCTGATGGAAGCAGTCCTTAATGTACTGAGTGAGGTTTAGAAGCTGTCCCGTTGTAGATTTGCCGGGACGGAAGCCTGCCTGCCTGTTCCTGTATCAGTTGTTTCTCAATGAAGAGGCAAGAAGGTTGAGGAGGAAATATTCCAGCAACTTGAAAGTGTGACTTTGGGACGATAAGTTTTGACATGCATTGGGTCTTTTCCGGGTTTTAGGAGGGCGATGACCTTCGACTTTTGCCACACTTTAGGTATTGTTTGTGTGGCGAGGCAGGTGTTGATGAGCTGGAGTAACCAATTTCAGTCATGGCAATGCTGTGTTCATAATAATCTGGCACCAGACATTTGGATGGTCTGGTTCCCAGACTTTCAGTCATGGTAATGCCGTGTTCAAAATAATTTGGCACCAGACATTTGGATGGTCTGGTTCCCAGACTCACACAATGTGGCATCAGACATTTACTTCAAAGGAACGTTGGTCAAATTGACAAACTTTGACATAATCGTTGCCAAAGAGATGGTCTGGTTCCCAGGCTTTCAGTCATGCTAATGCTGTGTTCATAAACAATTTGGCACCAGATTTTTTGATAGTCTGGTTCCTAAACTTTCAGTCATGCCACTGCTATATCATGGAATGTGGCATCAAACTTTTACTCCAGATTCGCAATAAGGATATAGACACACCAGCCAATGCCTTGGTATATGAATTCTTGCCAAAATAATGTTACATTTGTGAAATATATCTGGTCTGCAAAGATGCACTCTCTTTACTTTTCAACAAATTCATGTTGTTTTTGTCCTAAAAAATCTTCGACTAGTATTTTTCATTTTCACAAATAATCAGTTTTCTATGTTTTGGTCATCTGCACCCAAAAAAGCTGTAATTTTGCATTGTCCGAGTAGACTGGTTCCGGATTCCTATGTTATCGCTTCTAATAGGAGGTGGGAACCAGCCTGACGCCCCAACCATGGCATCTGAACTAATTCCCCAACTATTGTTGGGACTGGTCGGGTCTGTCCCGTAGTAGGGCCTTAACGTCCCTACTTTGAAACACTGTGGATAGCACCAACGATCTTTTCCAACATGCACAGCTTGTCCTCGATCCTCATAGGGGGCGCAAACTGAGCTTGTCGTCTCCACTTCTGGGTGACCTCCAGGGCAAAGGTCGGGTTGCTAGGCGACAAGCAGAGAACGGCTTCCGCGGTGAAAACCTGCACTGTCCATGGAACTGCAACAATTGAAACAATTTAAAAACGGATGAGTGTTAATTACTCGACAGACACATCAACTTGAAATAGTGGTCTTAATAGTGCTGTAGACTCCGCGTGCACAAGTACCCCCTCAATGGTTTACAAAGGGACAGTTGGGGAGACTGTTCCCCCCCCCCCCTTAAAAATATGGGAACCAGTAGCTAGCTCCCATTTAAAGCCATTGATTGGATCACCTCTGTGCGCACTCACCATGATTGTTTATTTTCAAATCGCCATTTACCTCTGCGCATGGACGGTGATTGAACACACGATTATCAAAAAATTCACTCTTGTCTTACCACAAAAAGTATGTGACAATCAGTGTCCATGTGAAGGCAATTTTTCAAGCATTTCATGATCCGATGCATAGGTTATAAATATTGAAGAGTAATTTCTCTCTCTTTATTGATACACAACCTTTACGTCATACATCCTAAAGAGATTAGTTCTTCCCAGCGCCCTGTTTGGGCAGTGGGTATGAGTGTAGCTTCACACACGGAGTTGTCGCAATGCACTGTCTACTATTGATGCACTGTCTACTATTGATGCACTGTCTACTATTGATGCAAGTTCTGCGTATTTTCTAATTAACACTTACCACTGGCCGAGGGTTGCTGCAAGACGGCCGCCAACATCTTGAGGAGTTCGCACACAGACTCTTTGTGACTGTCCAGTCCTAAACCGGCAACATCTCCTGAAAAAAAGTTCAGTAACAAAAACAGGACAAGCTAAGTCTAGTAAAGCTGGTCCCAGAGCACACAAAAGTTTTATTCAATTGATTCAGAATGGCTCTTCTCTGGGAGTCTTTTCATGCATCTGGTTTAAACACAGTGGGCCGGATGCAACCCTTTCATTAGTGTTACTGGGTAATCATATACAATAGCACTGCCCGATTCACAGGCAACGGTCGGTGGGATAGGCACAAAGAGGACGCGGCAGTCTTGCGGTTGCCAAGGCGTTTCATCGTACATTGCTAAGGCAATTTTATCCGATTACGTAACTGGACGCCACACACCAAAGAAGTGAAATGATTGCACCCAATAAAACATCGCTTTTTGAACGTTCTGTTTTTGAAAAAAAAAAACATGCTTAGTATGATTTAAATGTTAAATTCTAATAGTAGAACAAATCCTACACTTCATGTCAGTTCCAAAAAATTGTTGTTATTGATGCAGAACCTTCAATACTAGTTGCTGGTAAAACATAGCTGCCAACATTTCAAAATCCCAATTAGTAATCAACCTGCGCGGTCATTTTCAACTGCTTGTTTTATCAAAAGCTTTACCAACATCGAGTACAGGTACATGGTTTACATGTACACATACATGTGCATACCCTTCTTGTTGTGAATAATAATGTAATGTAGGCCAAAAGATAATAAAAAAAATAATAATAAAAAAAAAAAAAAAATTTGTAATTAATTTTTTTAATTAATTTTTTTTAATGTCTAATATTTGTTTGTTGGAGTCAAATAAATAACAACAATAATAAAATGTGCGCATATTTTTTTTGAGATGCATGCTATCGATGTGGAGTTTCGAGTTTCGAGTTTCTATCAATGTTTTTACACACAATGATTTAGGGCCACCGTCATGACCGTATGCAATAGAAATATCCCGCCAACATACCTTGCAAACGCATGCTGATTTATCTTTTCTGGACGTTGTGACAAACTCAAACTGTAATACCAATTATTCCAACCATACTCTTATTAAATTCCATGATTAAATTCTTGCGCTGATGGGTCTCAACGCGGCAATAAGCGACCAACTGTGCTCACGATCGTCACTGAAAAGTACTCACATACAGTACACACAACCACACATCCACGAGATGCACACAAATGACACACCATTGAAAAATAGTTTTAGTCTGGTCCTCAAGTACTCCACTGCGCACACTGCATTGATGTCTATCAGGTGCTTGACTGCATTCTTATTAGACTTGTCACCAGTCCATCCATTATCGCGACATTTTGCCAGAAGTTTTCGGTCAAAAACGATACTTTACAAGTATTTTTTTTTTCAGGAGGTAGAAAATGGGAAATTCGTAATGTTTTAGTGGCAAATCGTATTTTCGTAATTTAACAAACAATTCGTAATAATTACGAAAAATTAGTAACAGTTGGCAGCTATGGTAAAAGATAGCTAATAGTCGTGGAAATCTTTTGAAAAGGTCCCCAAATCGATTTAATTATATTTACTTATATTTACAAATTTCAGCTTCATCTGTTGTTGCAGATGCTTGTGTTACACTTTCTACTATCACCAAGGTAAGTTTCGCCTCAGATTTTTGCCAAGCAAAACAACACGGGGTCTTCAGGTACGTTACCACGGCCGATTTAGCCAAAATGATTTGGTCAATTTGGCTTGCAACGGTGATGTAGCGTGTTATTAGCATATTTATTAGCATGACTCAGCTTGACTTACCGTGGGTCTCGTATATGGACCAATGTAAGCACACCATAGGCTTGGAACGATTCACAGATATTGAAAATACCATTTGTTACGGCTTTGAAAAATGGACACACCCCAAACTATTTTTACAATTTTAATGAAAAATACTGAACACATCGAAACAATTTTTTGGGATCATTATAAGGGAAACAAACTCCAAAAGTGGCATGATGATACGGTCTTCAAAACAGGAGAAATTGATGTTGAAAGCTTTTGCCCGCGAACATCAAAAGGTCTGTGTAACGGTAATTTGATCTTGGTTTTATTCAAAATAAAGTGTTATGTAAGTGGACAAATCGGCCGTAGCAACCACAAGACTGCTAGCCTGGCTCTCTTATTAAACTTATTTAAGAATCTGAGTAAGAAAAAAACTGTATAAGAATCAGATTACCCACCGATAACTTTCATAGCAGCACAGGCAGAGGCGTCAGCGGGTGACTGCACGCAGTGGCCGATTCCGGTTGGCACCGGTTTGTTCTGGCCTGATCCGGTTTGAGGACCGGTTGCTGCATGGGCGGCTTGTTGTACTTGGTGGCTCCAGGCCTTGAGGATCGGCCAGAGTTTTTCCCGAATGAGATGATTGTTGGTCCACTGCCAGCCCAGGTGATACGCTAGCAACTCCAGGGCTTTCACAATTTCGTAGGATTTTGGAGTCAGGGCTTGAGTAGGAGATCCTGGGTAAAAAATGAAATTAAAGGGCCATTACGGCCTGAAATCCCGGAAGATTTCATGTTTTGGATTGTTTACCTAAACTATTTAAAAGGTCTGGTTGAAAGGAAACTGACCTTACGTCATACCGTTACCAAGAAAAGATGGGAAAACCCCGGTTGTTTACATCGGACTCAATGCATGCATGTGCATGACTACATGCAGGTTCAACCAATAAAACGGTAAAAGGCACTGGATTTCATGGAAGTCCAAATTTCACGTGACACTGGAAAAGTGTTTAAGACCAGCCAACCATGTCTTTATCATCCGTTTAAGACCGGCCATGTGGCAGGTTCTTGACCAATGGGAACGGGTAAACTGTCTTAGGTATTTATGAATGTCCCTTTAATAATAGCAGGGCAATTCCACCGAAAAGTGGACATGGCTGAAAAGTGGAAAAGCTATGAAATCTTCAGAACTACAAGCATTGTCGAGCGAGGGCGCGAGTTGCAAATGCGACAGCTGTTTCCTGTACCATGCATTTATCGTCTGGGGGCCACGTGCACTGATCTCTATTCAGGATCTACGGCACAGGAAACAGCCGTCACATTTGCAACTCGCACCCTCGCTCGACAAGCAATTTGCATAAACGCGACGTCACAGCTTGAGGTCATCTCTTGTCACATTCAAAATGGCTGCCATCACCGGACGTTTCACGAGTGCATAATTATGGGCTCCAGAAAGATTCAAGAATATCTCGGAAAATTGAACATCATTACACCTAAGCATCCCAGAAGTGATAGATGGGACATCGTAGAATACAACCATATGTAAGAAATTCCCTGCAAATTTTATGAAAACGTCCTCAGTAGTGCGCGGACCACGGTGTGTGGCCTTAGGTTCAGCGCAGCATACCGCGGCCACACTAGTGGGACTAGGGTTAATATATTTCTGAAATGAGAAGGCGCAGACGGAGGAAGCCTTCTGATTTCAGAAGTAGGGTTAGTACAGCCCCACTAGTGTGGCCACGATATTGCTGCAATTATGTACAGTGAAGCAATACTAAGGCCACACAAGTGGGGCTAGGGTTAGTATATAGACCCGTGAACTTGGCGTTGTATACAACGCCACGCGCTTCCCTCGCATAAATACAAGCGAAATCATTATATCTTTTGATCCGCTACATATAAACCTCGTATAATTTTGCCCATAGGTAAATCACTTACTTGTTAGGCTTCCTGTGAATTTAAGCGAGTGTTGGATCTGTCATTGTCAAGAAATTCGAAGTAAAATACGGCACAACTTTGTCACAACGAATGTTTTCAAAATGATCAGAAAATCAAAGACAGGCATGACACTCTGGTACCCCGAGTTTCGCATGCGCAAAACGGTAGGAGTCCCACCAGTGGGTACCCGACGAACAGTCTTACATGGCAGGATGACCGTAATACCATGTAAAATTCTGCTAAACATGCTAAATCCACTTCGAAAGTCTGCCAATCGCCCTGTATATATTGCTGTTCCATTGTGTAAGGGTTTGTTTCAGGGATCTTTCAAAATACAAAGGTTTTTCAAACCAAATGTGCCCATATTTTTCCTGATCTTTTGATTGTCCTTAATTCATGTAATTTATCTGCATAATTCTGCCGAAAAAAATATTCTGCTTGATTTTCTGTACAACTCATTTTTGTATGCAAATATTCCGTCAAATGTAGCCAAAATTCGGCTAGAACGGTCACTCGATCATAGTAACCGTGCCTGTGGATCACAATACTAATAATAGAGTGTTTTTACTATAGGCCTAGATTGAAGCGTAGCAATGTCATGAATGTATATAGCCACGTTCACGGGTCTAGGGTTAGTACTACTAGGCCTACAAATGGTACAACAAAAGTGAAACGGGACAAAAACAAAAGAAACGAACAAAGGAAAAGAAAAACTCGTGGAGAAGGAATTTTTGATGGGGGTGGGTAGACAAAATACGACATTTGCTTTGTATAGCTATAGGGCCTACGCGTAACTCACCAGTAAAGAATTTTCAGAGAAGGACCGCTAAATTGTGAAAGTTTCATCGCTGGCCGTTCATTTGGCGTGGCCTCTGTCTGCGTTAATTCCCGTGGGAAAAGTTCCATACTCGGATGTCAATTTATCTGCTGCCAAACATATTTATTGTCACCTCACCTTGTCATTTGAACCAAAAGAAATCCAGGAAGCTGTGTAAAGGTGAAAAAAATGTACTCAAAATGTGTTTTTAGAGCACATTTTGGATGCATACGTCGTGCAGAACTAACTTGAAGCAGCCGGTCAAAACTGATTGTAGTGGCTGAAAAGACATGGGTACGTTATACACGTGACATCAACAACCATGACGTCGCATGAGCCTGCCAATGATAGTTCAATACGTCATTATGAATATTTATTTTCTCATGAATATTTAGTTTATTTCAATGGATACTTCAAATACGTCCAAAGATTGATGATTGCAACAGCGATCGTGCGCGGCCTAGCGGTTAAGAGTCTCGTGTATCAAGCAAGCGCCAGAGGTTCGAATCCCGATGAAGTAACTGACTGATTAATAAATAGAAATTAAGGAAAGGAGAGGGTGAGAGTAGAGGAGGGAAAGTGGAGGAATAACCATAAAAGATGTAACTTTTGGCGCTAGAAAATTAATTGAAAAAAGTGACGTCCGAGTATGGAATTTTTTCCAGGTTTTCTCACATTACGGGAATTAACGCAGACAGAGGCCACGCCAAATGAACGGCCAGCGATGAAACTTTCACCATTTAGCGGTCCTTCTCTGAAAATTCTTTACTGGTGAGTTACGTGTAGGCCCTATACTAAAGCGAATGTCGTATTTTGTCTACCCACCCCCATCAAAAATTCCTTCTCCACGAGTTTTTCTTTTCCTTTGTTCGTTTCTTTTGTTTTTGTCCCGTTTCACTTTTGTTGTACCATTTGTAGGCCTAGTAGTACTAACCCTAGACCCGTGAACGTGGCTGGTGCTACGCTTCAATCTAGGGCCACTAGGCCTATAGTAAAAACACTCTATAGTATTATTAGTATTGTGATCCACAGGCACGGTTACTGTGATCGAGTGACCGTTCTAGCCGAATTTTGGCTACATTTGATGGAATATTTGCATACAAAAATGAGTTGTACAGAAAATCAAGCAGAATATTTTTTCGGCAGAATTATGCAGATAAATTACATGAATTAAGGACAATCAAAAAGATCAGGAAAAATATGGGCACATTTGGTTTGAAAAACCTTTGTATTTTGAAAGATCCCTGAAACAAACCCTTACAATATGGAACAGCAATATATACTGGGCGATTGGCAGACTTTCGAAGTGGATTTAGCATGTTTAGCAGAATTTTACATGGTATTACGGTCATCCTGCCATGTAAGACTGTTAGCCGGGTACCCACTGGTGGGACTCCTACCGTTTTGCGCATGCGAAACTCGGGGTACCAGAGTGTCATGCCTGTCTTTGATTTTCTGATCATTTTGAAAACATTCGTTGTGACAAAGTTGTGCCGTATTTTACTTCGAATTTCTTGACAATGACAGATTCAACACTCGCGTAAATTCACAGGAAGCCTAACAAGTAAGTGATTTACCTATGGGCAAAATTATACGAGGTTTATATGTAGCGGATCAAAAGATATAATGATTTTGCTTGTATTTATGCGAGGGAAGCGCGTGGCGTTGTATACAACGCCAAGTTCACGGGTCTATATACTAACCCTAGCCCCACTTGTGTGGCCTTAGTATTGCTTCACTGTACATATGTGCAGCAATATAGTGGCCACACTAGTGGGGCTATTATAACCCTACTTCTGAAATCAGAAGGCTTCCTCCGTCTGCGCCTTCTCTTTTCAGAAATATATTAACCCTAGCCCCACTAGTGTGGCCGCGGTATGCTGCGCTGAACCTAAGGCCACACACCGTGGTCCACGCACTACTGAGGACGTTTTCGTAAAATTGGCAGGGAATTTCTTACATATGGTTGTATTCTACGATGTCCCATCTATCACTTCTGGGATGCTTAGGTGTAATGATGTTCAATTTTCCGAGATATTCTTGAATCTTTCTGGAGCCCATAATTATGCACTCGTGAAACGTCCGGTGATGGCAGCCATTTTGAATGTGACAAGAGATGACCTCAAGCTGTGACGTCGCGTTTATGCAAATTGCTTGTCGAGCGAGGGCGCGAGTTGCAAATGTGACGGCTGTTTCCTGTGCCGTAGATCCTAAATAGAGATCAGTGCACGTGGCCCCTAGACGATAAATGCATGGTACAGGAAACAGCTGTCGCATTTGCAACTCGCGCCCTCGCTCAACAATGCTTGTAGTTCTGAAGATTTCATAGCTTTTCCACTTTTCAGCCATGTCCACTTTTCGGTGGAATTGCCCTGCTATTATTAAAGGGACATTCATAAATACCTAAGACAGTTTACCCGTTCCCATTGGTCAAGAACCTTCCACATGGCCGGTCTTAAACGGATGATAAAGACATGGTTGGCTGGTCTTAAACACTTTTCCAGTGTCACGTGAAATTTGTACTTCCCTGAAATCCAGTGCCTTTTACCGTTTTATTGGTTGAACCTGCACTCAATGCACATGCATGCATTGAGTCCGATGTAAACGACCAGGGTTTTCCCATCTTTTCTTGGTAACGGTATGACGTTAGGTCAGTTTCCTTTCAACCAGACCTTTTAAATAGTTTAAGTAAACAATCCAAAACATGAAATTTTCCGGGATTTCAGGCCGTAATGCCCTTTAATTTCATTTTTTTCCCAGGATCTCCTACTCAAGCGTTGACCCCAAAGTCCTACGAAATTGTGAAGGCCCTGGAGTTGCTGGCTTACCACCTGGGCTGGCAGTGGACCAACAATCATCTCATTCGGGAAAAACTCTGGCCGATCCTCAAGGCCTGGAGCCACCAAGTGCAAGCCGCCCATGCAGCAACCGGTCCCCAAACCGGATCAGGCCAGAACAAACCGGCGCCAACCGGAATCGGCCACTGCGTGCAGTCACCCGCTGACGCCTCTGCCTGTGCTGCTATGAAAGTTATCGGTGGGTTATCTGATCCCTTTTACAGCGTTTTTCCTTATTCCAATTCTGCATAGTGAATGTCAGATCCTTCAGAGGAATTATGAATTAGAACTCCGAATAAAGTTATTTGCCTGCAAATTTGTTATTTTCAATGTGGAAAATAACACCAGGCCGTCTCGAAAACCATATTACATATTAAAAAAATTTTTTAAAAAATTTACCTCATAATTTTCATTTTTTTGCCCCCATTAAAAACTACAAAATGCCTTGTCAGAAGTTTTCTAAACTATTATTGAAATTTTACTTGAGGTCTCACAGATTTGGTTCTTGAAAAAAAAATATACATTGTATGCGCAATATGTTTTCATATTGGATATTTGCATCGAAGTAGTAAGTTTACTTTTTTGCTGGCGCCCTCGTTGTACCTATCTGACTGACTGACTGACTGACTGTTGCTTTTGAATTGGGCAGTGCTGTTGTATAGGATTACCCAGTAACACAAATGAAAGGGTCAAATCTGGCCCATCGTGTGTAAACGAGATGCATGAAAAGCAGGGGCGAGATTTCTCTGGATTTGTTTCAGGATTTTCGGAAAGTTGGTGAGCTGTCTTCCTAATCCCAGACTTCCAGTGTTTTCTGTTTCATCACGCGATGAATTGCAAAAATTGAAAAAATTGCCAAATTTTCTGCCCCTGTTTTTGTAGCCTTTAAACATGTACGTGTGCATGCATAAAAAATGGGTGTAATAATTTTAATGTTGTTTATAATAAGCATGGTACTTATACATGTAGTTACATGTACAAAGTATTGTACATAAAATGTACATGTATATGCACACATACATAATATCACACATACATAATATCGTTTTGTCGGTGCAACAAGGGCGTATTTCCTAAAATGGCGTGTGACCCATGAACGTGACACGTGAGTTTTCAATGTCAAGGTTGTGTCTCGCTTAAAATAAACGGGATTTACACACAAAGTCAATTGATGTCGCGATACGCGAGTTACGACCTTGTTGCACAAAGCGTATTCGTGCGAGAGACGACCTTGTTGCAGAATCGAGTTACGACCTTGTTGCACTGACGTGGCGATATGTACACATGCATGTACATAATAAATGTACATGCATGTACATATACAATAATACATGCATGATATACATGTCAACCGAAGTTTGTGGATTTTTCATTGATGTCAGGTCTCACCCCTGGAAAAAACTTTCAGTGAAAAGGTATTCTGAACCAATGGAATAAAATGTCTGCAGGCTGTGGGGAGCAGCTTTACAAGGCTTACACTTACTTTGTCTTTTTTACTGAACATTTTTCAGGAGATGTTGCTGCTTTAGGATTGGACAGTCACAAAGAGTCTGTGTGCGAGCTCCTCAAGATGTTGGCGGCCGTCTTACAACAACCCTCGGCCAGTGGTAAGTGTTGATTAGAAAATACGCAGGGCTACACCATGGACCGGTACATGAACAGTAGGTGGGCTTCGTGATGACTCGTTCGAGCTCCGTGTGTGAGGGTTAGGTGATGTTTAGGTCCTCACCATTGTTGGTACTGATACAAAATTCCTCTCTTCTTGAGAACGACAGCATACCAGGCTCAACGATTTTGCAGGATGTTTCGTACTGTTTTGTACGTACAATATCAAGTGGTTTATTTCCTAATATTTTTTTTGCAGTTTAATTTTTGAGTATTTGCAAATGATCTTGTATGTCTGTAATTTTGATTCCGCATAAGCTTATAGCAAGTCACCGTGTCTGTCGAGTAATCAACCATCCACTTTTGAATTGTTTCAACTTGTTGCAGTTCCCTGGACAGTGCAGGTTTTCACCGCGGAAGCCGTTCTCTGCTTGTCACCCAGCAACCCGACCTTTGCCCTGGAGGTCACCCAGAAGTGGAGACGACAAGCTCAGTTTGCGCCCCCGTTGAGGATCGAGGACAAGCTGTGCATGTTGGAAAAGGTCGTTGGTGCTATCCACAATGTTTCAAAGTAGGGACGTTAAGGCCCTACTACGGGACAGACCCGACCAGTCCCAACAATAGTTGGGGAATTTGTTCAGATACCATGGTTCGGGCGTCCGGCTGGTTCCTACCTCCTATTAGAAGCGATAACATAGGAATCCGGAACCAGTCTACTCGGACAATGCAAAATTACAGCTTTTTTGGGTGCAGATGACCAAAACTTAGAAAACTAATTATTTGTGAAAATGAAAAATACAAGTTGAAGATTTGTTAGGACAAAAACAACATGAATTTGTTGAAAAGTAAAGACAGTGCATCTTTGCAGACCAGATATATTTCACAAATGTAACATTATTTTGGCAAGAATTCATATACCGAGGCATTGGCTGGTGTGTCTATATCCTTATTGCGAATCTGGAGTAAAAGTTTGATGCCACATTCCATGATATAGCAGTAGCATGACTGAAAGTTTGGGAACCAGACTATCAAAATGTCTGGTGTCTAATTTTTATGAACACAGCATTAGCATGACTGGGAACCAGACCATCTCTATCATTTTCTATGGCAACGATTATGTCAAAGTTTGTCAATTTTGCCAGTGTTCCTTTGAAGTAAAAGTCTGATGCCACATTGTGTGAATGTAGCAGGAGCAGACTAAAAGTCTGGGAACCAGACCATCCAAATGTCTGGTGCCAAATTATTATGAACACAGCATTACCATGACTGAAAGTCTGGGAACCAGACCATCCAGATGTCTGGTGCCAGATTATTATGAACACAGCAATACCATGACTGAAAGTCTGGGAACCAGACCATCCAAATGTCTGGTGCCAGATTATTATGAACGCAGCATTACCATGACTGAAAGTCTGGGAACCAGACCATCCAAATGTCTGGTGCCAGATTATTATGAACACAGCATTGCCATGACTGAAAGTCTGGGAACCAGACCAGTTCTTCGCCCACGATTATGTCAAAGTTTGTACGTCCATTGTGCCTCAGTTCCATAGTTTATTTCATCCAGTTGCTGTTGGATTTAAAAAAAAAACTAAAAAAATACCAAAACAATATGACTTCACAGCAGCATTATGACATGAATTTGAGTTTGATTGGCTTTTTCATTTTTGTATAGGAAGATACTCAAGACGAAAACAGAATTTAACTATGTTTTGTTATTATTACTATTAAAAGTGACTTTTTGAAATTCAGAAAAGTGCATTGACTGTAAAGGAGATAAACGTCTAGCAATAATAACCCGCCCCTCATAAAAAGAGAGATTTATTTGTAAAATGGAACTTGTATTGTTTACAGGTCTTTATATTAAAACATATGAAAAGTAGTTATGAAGAAAATCTATTTTTTTTCCCAGAAAAAAAACCCATATATCATGTCTTTGCATACAATAATTATGTGATTAATATTTGCCTGATATTTATTTTCACCATTTTTGGGGGTATTTCTAATTTCGTTAGAAGTATTGTTGCATATTTTGTTCTTTAATATTTTCAGAATACTCCAGACAGTGGTTTTATACCAGTCAGATCTCTATTTAAAATTGTAGTTTTCTTCATTTTGTTTCCATAGTAATTTGTGGGTATTTACCCCCAAGATTTGTGGGGAAAGTAATGCATTGATGAAGAATGAGTCAAAACTAAACTTTTTATTTTGAACAACTCCTATATTTCCATATTTAATTAATTAAAAAACAGTTAATAGCGTTACACATTCAAATGCATAGAAAAGATTCAACAATGATGAATGTTTATCTCGAATGATGTCGTGTATTTCTTAGGTAAATCCCTTAATATTTTTTTTTTATTACAAAAATAAAAAAACACTTTGCCTTTTTGGACATTTTGGATCTTTGAATATTGCTTGCAGCCCCTTTGCGTCCAGACGAATTTCTGAAGCATTTGTAGAATTTTTTCCCCCCAATTTGGTCAAAAATGTAAGGGAATTTTTTTTCTCCAATTTTGGCCGAAAAATTTAATTGCTTGAAACTTGCAGGGAAGATGCCTTAAGGGCCTCAGAACACATTCCAACTCTACTTCTGGACAGATGTGCTATTCCAAAGAAAGAAAATGCGTCGACAATTTTGCGTCAATCAATTTATCAAAAAATATTTCTTTTCACAAACAAAATGATGATTTTTGCCCAAATCTTCAACATTTTGGGTCTTTGTGTATTGATTGAGGCTCCTCTTAAGAGTTTGGAGAAAAGTGAATTTTTGGCAAAATTTCATCAAAAATGTAAAAACCCCTTGCATTTTTTTTCCTCAATTTTGGCCAAAAAGTGAAATTGCTTGAAACTTGCAGGGAAGATGCCTAAAGGGCCTATGGACACATTCCAACTTGACTTCCAGATGTGCTATTCAAAATGCGCCAAAATTTGGGGTAAAATCAGTCAAAAAAATATTTGTTTTTTTCTCTACAAATATGGATGATTTTTGCCCAAATCTTCAAAAAAAATGGGGTCTTTGAATATTGATTGAGGCTCCTATTGCATCCAGACGAATTTCTGAAGAGTTTGGAAAAAAGTCATTTTTGGCCAAATTTCATCAAAAAGTAAGGCCCAAATTTCATCAAAAAAGTAAGTGAAGTCCCTTGCATTTTTGTCATTTTTTGCCGAAGAATGAAATTACTTGAAACTTGCAGGGAAGATGTCCTAAGGGCCTTAGAACACTTTCCAACTCGAATTCTGGACAGATGTGCTATTCCAAAGAAAAAAATGCGTCAAAATTTGGGGTAAAATCAGTCAAAAATAATTTTTGTTCTCTCCACAAATATGGATGATTTGTGCTCAAATCTTCAAAAATTGGGGTATTTGAATAGTGATGATGCTCCTATTGCATCAGACGAATTTTTGAAAAGTTTGGAGAAAAGTCATTTTTTGGGCTAAATTTCAAGGGGTTAGCCTTATATTTTGAAGATTTGGGC